TAATTTTTGCACTTCCCTTACTGGTTTGTTCTAATTATGCATTCAGCTTAAGAACGAATTAATTTAATTGTCATTCTGGTCAATATGTAAATCGGCACGAAGAAATTCTGCAATGAGTTTAGTATAAAAGCTTTCGGCAGCTGAAGAAAATTAAATCAGTTTGCTTTCGAAACTTGACCAAACACAACACAAATCACTCAAGATGAAAGTAAGTTGCAGATACCCTTGGAGATAGTTTACATACGTTTATAATCCTTGTGTAATTTCAGTTCGCTATTGTCTTTATGCTCCTCGCTTTGGCCTTCACTGCTCACGCTTCAGTCATTGGCGCTCCTTTGGCTGTTGCTGGTGTTGGTGTTGGTGTTGGTGTCGTTGGTGTGCCCGCCGCCGTTGCTGTTATACCACCAGCTGCTATTCCAGCTGCAGTCAATATAGTGTCAGCCCCACTCCTGGCTAAGGGGATACACGGTTAGATTTCATACTTTAATTTTAAGGACACGTTTTTTTATATTAGTAATACAACAAGGATTAAATGTCGACATTGAATTATCCGCTGACAACAGCAAAAACAAAAGTTAAATAGTTTGTTTAAATGTAAAAAAAAAATTAAAACAATAAATAAAAAAAATTAATAATTAATAAAGTTCTTCATTAATTTTATCACTAAATGGTAAGGGAGAATCAGAAATAATATCAACATAGCAACAGAACTGGAACGACCTAAGCTGCTGTATCACAATTAACTATAGTATATAATCGTACTATAATATAATGTTGTGTGTAATCATTAAATGATTCAACTTATCTTTTTTTCTCGCCCCCTCTTGGATATAATCAGGTTTCTAACAGAAACCTTAATATTCTTATTTGAACACCTTTAGTTAGCTTTCTTAAATCGTTAAATTGAAAATCTCTCAAGGAGTTAATCATTTGTCTGTACAAAGCTGTCAATGGTATAATAAGGGTTCAGTCGTTTCTTCTAAGCAGCTTCTAAAAAAGTCACAACTCGTGGAGCTACTCTAATTGTATAGAAACCCATTAAAGCCACTACTTCTTAATCTTATAAGACTCTTTGCTCTATTAGTTATTCAATGTCCAATATTATAACTGTCTTTTCTAACAAACTTTGTGAAAGGAAGGAATTATGACATCCATCTTACAAATTTTGGTACCTACCTGCTCTAAAATATTCAGCAAAATAACTGTAGGCCAGAATCTTAATTAAATGATCGGTGCTTGCTATATTCATCTCATTTCGAGATAGATGTCACGACATTTCTACGCTTGTACTCGTAAGCGATTTGATTAAAGTTTAGTAGTTACCTGAACTGTAGGCAACGATATGTCGTATTATATCTTATCATTTTAACTGCCTTACAGATGACTTTAGCTTTAGCTTCGAAAACATTACTTAAATCTGGTCATCTACATCTAAATTACGTATTGAATGTATATCGGAATACAGCACCGAAATATATATCGTCCATATATTTCTGGATTGACTTGCTGCTATCTGTTAGAAGGGAGTTTCGTTCTAGCCTATAAGATATTAAAGTTTCGTTTATATTATCAAAACTTATGGTATAAATGATATAGTTAAAATGCGTTTTTATATTGTTGCATAATTACGGGATAGATTAAAATTCACTACTATTCACTATCTATTTTAGCTACAAAGTCGAGGACGGCATGTCGATTTTTATTCTCCAAATCTAGAAATTCCAGTTCAATTTAAGTTGAAAGTGATTTTAAAAAAGTGCAAAATCCTTTGAAGAATCTAGCGATTGCTACTGTAGAATAAATACGTTAACGTTGCTGGAGAGGTATCAGAACTCCAGATGTACCAGATTTATTAGATCAAGGTACCTGACTGTCTCCCTAAAGCTCTGATTCATGTGAAATCAAAAAGGGTTCGACTCTACCATCTTTATGAGAAGGTTTCCTCTTATTCTGATATCAAAAACGGCAGTGAGTGAAGCATTTATAGCAAATTAAGTGCAAGCGTACTATCGAAGTAAGGAATTCAATTCAACTCAGACTGCAGATACTGTAGAGAAGAAATAGAAACTGCATCCCATGTGCTTGGGTAGTGTTCGGCACTGATGTACCGGAAGGAAGAAACACCTAGGAGGGCGTTTCATGGATCATAAAGATTCAAGGCTAGGGCTCTTACTGTCTTTCATTAAAGAAATTGGACTTGGAGAAATACTCTAACCCAAGTAAGGGGAACAATAGATCTTTTAGGTCGCAGTGCATAATCCCTTCTTTTAATAATAATAATAAGTGCAAGCGTATCATTTTAAATGGAAAAAATGTTCTTATATGCCTGCGTCGTAGTTTTTTCTTTATGGAATTAGCATTATGAGATAAACGAAATGTTTAAGCTCTTACCTTTTAAACGAAGAAGTCATTATTGGATGTAACTAATAACTTCAACGTTATTGCAGATCTTGCTCAACCCATAAATAAATGTTTTGAGATAAATGAGTACTTCACCATATATTGTAGCTTTGAAACCGTCTGTCCATCCTTTGTTACAGGCGATTATTACTGAAAATCTTTTATTATTAATATAATATATACTTCAGGAGAAGACTTTAAATAAAATCGGAAAAATTATATACCATAAGTTAATCTAAATATTTTAATAACAATAAAGTCAAAAGATTAAATGTGAACGATTATTTTGATGAAGATAGAAATCGGAAAAATTATAAACCATAAGTTGGATGATTAAATTTAAACGATTCTTCTGATGAAGGCAATCCAATTACTATTATTATTAGGGAATGTGGCACTACGACAGTCGAGTCTCTTCCAGTTGAGCCCCCTTCTGGATTTAGAGTACGTCTCTAAGCCCTGTTGCGTCAATAAAAAGTAGTATAGATTTTACTTTATAGAGTTTTAATATAAGGAAGCCCAATAGGATAACATCTTTATTTTCAATAAAAATCAATTAAATTTAATTGATGTAATTGATGTATCTGTGTTCATACACAGATACATTATATGCACAGAAAGATTGAATATAATATGCTTAGCTCATATTTTACATAGTAAAATTTTTTCTAAATAAAGCCTGCGGTATTATACCACTTATATATATATTAGTTCCCATATATCCTTTGAGGAGTAAAGAAGCACAATTAGATTCTTCCATTCCGTTTAATTGGATGCAACTGCCTTCCCTTCTCTGCAGGTTTTAGCAGTCCTAGCAGCTTTGAGCCCAAATTGTATGCGCCATGTATTATTATCAAGTGTGATAACAGCAACCTATGGGTGTAAACCTTAAATCAAACAGTAGTAATTTTAGTAATAAATGTTGAAAAGCATTTATTTGCAATCGACTCAAACCGAAGCTAAAAACTAGAAATATATAAAGTGTTCAGTGCAACTAACAGTGTTCAGCTCTAAATTGGTAAATATTTGGTAAATTAAGGAAAGTCATATGTCAAAAAAGGATAGTTGTCTACTATGAAAATGCGAAATAGGACTTTTCAGCTTAAACAAGTAAATTTTTGAACTAAAATTTATAGTTATCCGTCACACTTAAGGCGACTACACACAGGTATACGAGTATCTGTCAAACTGATATTGCCAACTACATGAAATTCATACGAATGACAGCTGTTTATGTCATTTACAAGCCACCACAAGCATTTGCGTCTAAGTTTTATAGAACAAAACTTATTCGAAATGCAATTCAAAGATTGTAATTTGATTGTGTTATGCTTGACCGGAAAATCACAACTAGATATTGTTCGTGAGGTCAAACCCTTCAAAATTTATAAAATGATTATTTATTATTTATTTACCATAAATTGTTATTGTAGTACAGATAGCGTTGCCTAACGTTGTGGTGGTAGACGAAAAAAAACAACAACACCACCTGAAATGGTTCGGAAAGTGAAACCTCGACTTAAATGAAAACCACGTCGTAGTGGTAATCAAATTGCAAAGAACCGAATATATCTCAGCGAAACATATGACACATATTCCAAAACAAGCTCAAGGTAAAGCTATAGAAGTTGCAAAAGGCACAAGATCTTACACCAATGAAACAAAAAGTTGGACTCGAAAGAGCAAAGGAGTTATGCTTGCACAAACTTGGCGAATTGCCAAACATTGGGTTCTCTGATGAGAAAAAATTTGAGGAGTTCACTGACGAGTTCACAAACTCTGAAAATGATCGTGTTTACTCAACTGAACTCACTGCCGAATATTTGAGAATACGAATACTCACTCGAAGTAATTTTCCATCTCAAGTAATGATATGGGCAGCTGCGACCGCCGATGAATGCTATCCAATCGTTTTCATCGAGCCTGGTGAACCATGTGAACCAAGAATGGTTAAAAAATCATATTCCACACTTCATTTCGTCCACACAATGGCCTTCGAATTCCTCAAATGCATTCCCCAGATGGGACGTGGTTAGTGCCCCATTGTCCACCTAAGTGCCCTCTACTCCCAACTGCCGTTTCCAACACTTTTTTCGTTGGTATGTCGTCATTTATCCAACAAACCTTGATAATGAGATTAAATTGGGGCACCCTAACCTGTTTTATATTAAACCTATTTCAAGGGCTTCTACATTTTCTGCAAACTCGTATATTGAGTTGGGCAATAGCAACATTGCACACAAGATTCATATAGTTTCTGACTTCAATTGTAGTCTTTACGTAATCAAATGTAATTAAAATCTGACATGCGCCAACGAGTTTCGATAACGAAAACTTAGATGGAAATCACAGAATGCAAGGTCAAAGCCAAGAACTCGTGCGCAAGCGCAGCGATTACAAGTGTAAGTACACAAAGCGACCGCCTAATCTAGTTTAAAGTGTTTTATAATTAATTTATGGAAATTAAAATTTATTGGCGCTACAGAACCACTTAACAGCAGCGTAAGTTTCCGCACTTTTCTTGAGATATGCAAAACACTACAGAAGCTGAGAAACAGTCGCTTGCTCTGAATTAGTTCTGGAGCAGTTTTCAGTTGACCGCAATCTACTTTCTGCTATAAAAGTTTGAGCCAGTCTTGTTGTTATCATTAGTAAGGTTCTTAGTTTCAAACCGTTAAGAAAGTAAACAAATTCTATCAATCAAAATGAAGGTAAGACAAAAAATGAATCTAAACTTAAAGTTCCAGATATTTTAATTAAATTTTTTGTGAATATTTGGTATAGTGCGTCTTTGCCGTTGTCCTTCTTGCCTTGGCCCTTGGTGTGCAATCATCAGTTTTGCCACTCGGTCTTGGTTTAGCACATGGTCCTTTAGTGCTCTCTGGTACACCACCAGCCACAGTTGCCGTGCAAGCTTCGGTCGCTTCAGTACCCGTTGTTTCAACTGCTATACAAGCTTCCGTCGCATCCGTACCTGTAGTATCAGCTGCCGTTCATGCTGCCCCAGCTGTTGTTGCCGCCGCTCCAGCAATTGTTGCCGCAGCACCAGCCATTTCAGTTGCTGCTGCTCCAGCAGTCATTGCCGCAGCTCCAGCCATTTCAGTTGCTGCTGCTCCAGCAGTCGTTGCCGCTGCTCCAGCCATTTCAGTTGCTGCTGCTCCAGCTGTTGTCGCAGCTGCTCCAGCTGTTGTCGCACCTGCTGCCGTTGCTGTGGTACCCGCTGCTGGCACATATGTCGCTAAGACTCGTGGCGCTGTCCATGTCGCACCATTGGCTGGACATCTCAGCTCTGCTGCTTCCGTTAATCTACAACCCGCGCCTGGCACACACTAAGTTGAATGCGAAATTTTTAATTTATTTGTGTGCAATGTAGACGAATGATGATGGCCTGACCGCATTTTCAATTGACTCCAGCTGCATGTGAAATTTAGTTATAACTTAAAACTTAAAGTTGCAACACAAAAACAAAATTACATATAAGATTTAATTTTAAACTTATTTTCTTTTCTTTAAATTTTTCTTTTTCGTTTCCTTTTTGAGTTTATTTCTATCATTCTTTGTGATATTGGTTCGCCACATTTATGCTCATTACATTCATATCTGCATTTATGTGATTTATCCTTACGCTCTTCTAAGTCACGAATTCTATCTATTTATCTGTCCTTTCATTATAATAGTTTCCGATCTTTAAGACAAGCATTTGAAAACATTCTTAAAGACGAAGAGACTCCCTATCCTCATGTTGTCAACTAAGATACTTTGAATAAAAATAAAATAAATATATTTTTGTGATAATCATTATTTTATTATAAACAAAAGTAGTAGCTGTTATAGTTTACATTGATTTGTCAAAATTACTTTCAATATCTTTCTTTTTAGCCTAAGTAGACCATTAATTATGATACTTAACAATTCCTCTAACATCACTTAATTTTGATGAAATGATATTAGAGCCGAATTAGTTCAAAATAATGCGGAAGAAATCAATATTGCCTGAGAGTGTATGATGTAGTACATATGCATGTGTTATTTGTTGAACATCACCGACCTCATTGCCCTTTTTAATTCTAGATTTAATATAAGTTATAATTGCTCTTATTATAATTCAAGTATATTCACAAAAACATTGTTTGATAATTCTTTTTTTTTTATTAGCAAGAATAGGTGGACCTTTTCAATTCTGACAGATTACTTTTTTATTCCCCTCTTCGAATTGAGCTAACATTAGGGTATAAAAGCTCGCAAGGTGTTTTTTGTATTATTACAGAAGGTTACGACGTGCTGCAACTAGAATAAATCTGCATAGCCTGAGGTCTTACCTTATATATTTAGGATATTAATAAATATTTGATATTCCACTATGTACTATATACAGTGCTGTACTGTATTCTTTACATTTAAACTCGGTTGTAGTTTGAAGTGAGGAGATTGCTTCGGTTCATAGAAATCTTTTTGCGTTTTCTTTTCATAAGCATTTCATCTTTCATTATTGATTATTTTCCATTCTACAAGGGCTTTTCACTTATCCTTTGATCCTTTGATTTGATGGTTTTGAAAAAATTAAGTTCACCTATCACTATTTTAGTTCTAATTAAATCTGATAACAAAAAGTACTTCCTGTTAATCAACTGCGGTGCTGTGATTCCATCAACATATACCATATTTCATAACTAAACATTGAAAGTAGTAAGAAACTTTCTAGATCAATTAGAAAATGCCTAAACAGACAAAACAATTTATTGTAGAGACTCAATGAAGAATCTCTTTGTTAATAGAAGTCAGAATAGAAGTTAATAGAAGTTAGAAATTTGAATAATGATAAACTGTAATAATATCCCATTTGGAGTGTCCGAGAAGAGAATTCTTTAAAATATCTGTGGTTTTGTATAGATATGGGATATGTTTTGAAACTGGCTATTAAATAGTCGAACCAGAAGTATCTTATGAAGTTTTAAGATATTTAAATGAAAAACTTTTATTTTTCAGCGATTTTTATTTGTAAAGATCATTTTCAAAACAGAAATATCATGTCATATAACAAAAGCATATATAATAATAAAATAGCAGGTTGTATGTACAGCAGATAATATAAAGAATTTGCTTTTGTAATTATCAACATTGCGTCGGCAGGCACGTTCCCTTTTCACTCTACGCTAAGAGTGAGATAATTATCATGAATAGATTACATTATGATAACAAACTAAAATGCTAAGAATATAAAATAATTAATGTCATATATCATATATATGAATAATTAAAATTATATTAATTATTAAAATTAAAATTATCATATATATTAAGAAAAGTATATATTAAAATTTATCATATATATTTGAGTTTTAAAATATTTCAAACTTCGGATGAGTAACAATAAAAAATATAGTCAATGTAATTTAGGGCCATTTATGAAAAACAAGTTTAGATAAATATTACAAAAGCTTTATAAGACATTAATCCTCAATACATATGATTATTTTTGCAATAATAATTCTTATTAAAACTATATACCAATAATATAGGAATATAATTATAGCGTTGTTTTCATAATTTTATGGCAGAGCCATTAAAATAATAATATATCATAAAAGAGACAGATGGTATACGAATTTTAATGAAATTTAATGTCAAATTTTAATGTTTTAATGTTACATCGAATCTCTACTTTGTCAAGTTTCCATTTGTATCTGGACCAGGTCTTCCTCGAGAACCAACCACTAAAATCATTCAATTAAAGTTATTTTTATCATAACTCTATACACGTGTATACTTATTAGTTTAATATGGTGGTGATCTCTTTGAAAGAAGTGGCACAATAATGTTTCAAGAATTGATTGAACGTAAGATTTCAAGCTCAAACCAGTAGTCTATAAATAGCCCTAACAATTTAATATAATATGTATATTAAACTATGTTCAATAAGTAAAAAATTATAATGATAAAAGGAATTGGAAAAAATCTTGCAGGTTCAATAGAGATACATTGAGGTACATTTGACGTAATTAGGATGATTTATCACTAAAACCATTTGCCAATTAAATAAATTAATAAAAAGTTAGCAGCAAAAGTTTGTAGAATATATTCTTATCGCTTTTATATACCTTTTATAGTTGTTGAACATTTTTTTATAAGGGAGAAAGTTAAGAGACTTCAATGTGACAGTAAAAGATTTATATACATATATATATGTATATATATATAATAAATGAATATATTAATAATGTAATAATGCATTGAAAAACAAAGAAGTAGGCATTTTATTCTACTCTTATTAAAATCGGTGACTATCTGACATTAAATAGGTTTAAAAATTAAGGGACATATGCAGCTTACCTAAGTAGATTTTTATATAATCATTAGAATCAATTATGTTTCACATAAAATTGCTCTTACGTTGAAAAGATAAACTATATATTTTAAAATTACTCATCAATCAATCCCAAGATCCATGTTTCTTCAGGATATAATTGACTTTTTACTATGAAAGCAAACTTAGCAGAAACTAATTTATATTCTATTGCCAGTAGAGAGTAAATGAGTTTTGGTTTCTTTGGTAGAAAACTGAAAAGATGTGCTGAAAAACTACACTATTAACAGATAATAACCGTATATGGAATGATCAACTTATAACACTGAATTTAAAGATTGTAAAATAGGTTGTATTCTCAACTGTACTCATAAAATTATTTCGCGTCCCGTCTATATCATATGTATATATAAACACTTTAATAATGTAATAATCTCTTAAGCAATTTTAGTCAATTACTTTCAGGTTAATACAAATTCTTAAATTAATATAAAAATTAAGAAATGTTTGTCAATGTTTGATGCAATATTTATTAGAGAGCAATTTTAAGGACTTAAATACCCACTGGCCTTACCATAAAAAAAATTTATTAGATGGAAATTTAATCGCTAAGTGCTTAGATATAATGTGTTTGGTAAGTTGACCCTTTACAAGAAGTCGTAAAGATTTGCGACAACAGAAACGCATGATGCAATATTTCAATAGAGTTAAACCATGTTCACATAGTTGCCATAACTAATTGCTTGCAGACCATAAAGACAACAACAACGGCATTAAGATTGGTAAGTTGACACATTTCTGCTTTCTAATTTCACACATAAGGTACTACAGATCTCTGCAGTATGCAAATTAGTTCTCCTAAGCTAATTACTATTGGTTTAGGGTATAAAAGGTCTTGTCAACAAGAAAGAAGTTATCAGTTCAATTTCTTAACTCAGAAACTAAACAGACACATATCAAAATGAAAGTAAGCATTATAAGCTAATTTCCAAAAGGATTAAATAAAAGCGTTTTATCCTAGTGACTTACTGCCACTACTACTACATCAAAACTTCTAGATTGGACAAATATCTAATTGCTTTGTTCTTTTTTTCAGTTCGTCATTGTCTTCATGCTTATTGCTTTGGCTTTCAGTGCCTCTGCTTCAGTTATTGCTGCCGGCCCATTGGGTCTTGGAGGTATTGGTCTTGGTGTTGGCCTTGGTGTTCCAGTTGCTGGTGTAGCCGGTGTTGGAGTTCCACTCTTGGGCAAAGGTGCAATCCTTGGTTGAATAGATTCCTTGTATCATCAATGTTCGATGTAGCAGTTAAAACAATAGCAACAATGAAAAATCGCATATCTCAGAATTGTTTATATATGCAACAAAAAAAAAAATTAATAAAAATTTAAAAAATTATACTTCATTGTTTTTGGATGGAGGTAAAGATAAACATGTTAAAATAATATTAAAAAAAATTGGGTTTTGAAGACAATGTAGTCGTTCAAGATGTCAGAATATTAATAGCTACAGCCTTTGTGATTGTTTCAAAAAGTAAAAGATTTCTGCAAATGCTGCTACTACAAAATTAACTATTCAGAATGGAAAAAAGTGAGTAAATTAAATTTATTAAAGAAATAACACTATTTCATTATTCAAAAAGGATAATAACCCCGTAGGATAAGTAAAGGCAAAATTGTACATAGCATTCGAGAAAGGTGTCTTACATCTTTGTAACTCAAAGTATATGACCCTCCCATTAGCTGAAGTTTGATAATTGCTAAGAAATGTCAGTTGTGCCGGATTATTAAATACGTGAAAAAAGACTTCCAATTATTATCAGATAGTTGAAGCAAGTGGGTTTCAAGGAACTTTATTAAGATCTCAACAAAAACGTATAGACCGGTGCTCCTAGAAAAAAATTTATGGAGACACCAATGGCGACTAAACCTTTTGCTTTTTCATTCCTATTTATATTGCTATGCAGGAAACTTAGATGAATGTAATGTCAGCGGCTTGGCTTAGAATTTCAATTTCCATTAAACATTCTCTGACTACATTTTTTGATGAAAGATTATAGAGCATTAAATACCGCATTGACTTGTCTTCGATAATAATCAATAAAAGCCATGTTATTCAAAGAGTCATGGTCAAGTCAAATTTAAAATTGTTGATGATAAAAATGTAAATTAAGAAAATGAGGATGAGAGAAAGAGAAATTTCGGTTTACGCTGGTCGATATAGTGTTGCTCAGTAATAACTGTCAGAATTTTCACTTATTAGAAGTAAATATGTGTATTTTTTTATGGATATGTTGGCATATCTAAAAGTAGGAAATTGATAATTGTTATATGAATGAGTCTCTGTATAACAGCTGAAAAGAAATGGAACTAGGGAGCTACATATGCTGAGCAAAAGTGCCATTCGACTTGTTACAGGGTTTCTCACTGGGCGTTGCGGAGTTAAAAAACATCTATAGAACCTAGGTATTACTAGAGACAATAGTTGC